AAAAGAGACTTTCCTCCAAATTGTGATAACATAGGTCATTTGACAAGCAGCAATTACAATCCATATTTATGTTTATTGTAAGGCAGCAACCTCAAGTGGCTGTAGTTATTGTGAGGGGGCAAAAGAGGAAGTCAGGCGACGTAGTATAAAGAGCAACAAAGTCTGCTTAGGGTAGCATTAAGAGGTGGTGGATGAGTCAAACAAACACAAGACTTTCATCCAGGAGCTGTTTGTGTGAAATCAAAACTCAGCATTATTTTAACAATGTAATGTAGTATGTCATGTGAGATATGTGATTTATGTGACGTGATTTATGTGACGTGACTTATGTTACGCGAAATAGGTCATGTCATGTTACTTTGGCAATAAACTTTCTTAATTTAAGTCAAACCATGATCTTTTTTCGAATCCTAACCAGTGAGTTTTGTTGCCTGAACCTAGTCATGTAGTTTTTGTGCAACTGCAACCATTTCACAATGTTAACCATGTGTTTAAAATTGGAATCGTTAACGCTAATTCAAGAAATGCTCCCGTGGGTCGTATTAGAGGGTAGAAACATACAGCCTATGTAAGGATGGGCGGACTTAGTGAGAAAATATGTTTTTATAAATATGTACTGTCGCATACAATAAAAGAAATAGTTTTTGCAACACACATGCACTGACATAATAGGCAGTGTTGGGCAAGCTACTTGCAAAATGTACTGAGTTAAGCTACCAGTTACTCTACATCAAAATAAAGTTTCACTACATTGAAGCTACCCAGAGAGAACGTAGCAAGCTAAGCTACGAGAAAATGGCAAAAGTTGCTTGCCACTTGCAAAGTCTCTTTTATGTTTTGACTTTATGTCAAATCAACATTTTCTCAGTTATCAGAAAAACTGTCAGCCAAACAAACAGGCAGGCAAAAACTGTTGAGTTGTTTACTATGAAACTTTCTTCTTTTCTGTTTTTTCTTGCAGACTTTGTGACATTTGAACATGTCCTCCAATAACATGACATTATCAGTCAACCTATTGCGCTCTCTCTTTCTCTCTCCTCTTCCTACTTAATGCATTTCTCTGTATCTGGCTATGTCAGTAATTCAGAAACAGAATTCCAAAAATATATTTTTCAGTAAAAACTGCAATATGAACAATAAAAATGACAGACAAACTAAATTAAATTACAAATTAAATCTTTTCTTTTTTTGGGACATTAGAACATGAACATGTCCAGCAAATAACACATGACCTCAGCATGTCTCATTCTCTCTCCTCTCCTCCTACTTAATACTGTTCTCTGTCTCTCAGCTCTTTTTTTGTCCCTTGCTGTGGTCTGTCTCCCTAGTGTCCACTTCAAATCCACTCAATATATACAGTCTATGGGCAAGACATGAAGTGCAATGTAGCCAAACAGAGGTAGAGTAAGGCAGGTCTTGCCAAGAAAAGCCAATAGCGAAGCAGCAAGCAGAATAAAGTGAAGGATTAGTATGTGATATCATACAGAAGTGTGTCCCTCATGTACATGCCTAGGTGTGGTGCTGGCATCAGTCACATTACTTATCCTCAGTTTTATTATCCTTACTTTTATCCAAACCTCCACAGAAAAAAAGTCCACTGTACTTCAGAGCTTTTCCTAGGAAAGATAGCTTGTAACTTTTGTGGACGCTACTTTGCAACTCGGTCAATTACTCAGCTTTGCCACTGAAAAGCTATGACTCAGAAAGTACCACCACGCTATGTAAGTGACACTACTACCCAACATTGATACTAGGACTGTACCTGACAAAGAATTTTTTTCATATGGATTTGAACAGGGTTTAGTGGAACATTCAGGGTGACAGTGACATAGTAAACAAGCTAACGGCACTACAGACGGATCAGAGATGTGCAACAACATTTTTTGCCATCAGCAGAAATCAAACCAAGAAATCAAGCCAGAAACTGTATCATATTAATTTGCTGTGAGCTGTAAATTCACCAGTTCTAAGCAGAAGGCAGGAGTTAACATTATTTCGGAGCTTGACTGGGCAATGTCTCTCCTTCTCCAGGCCTCTGTGTCTGCAGCTGCCTGTGCCAAAGAGCAGCTTGAAAGCAAGGAGCAGTCAGTCTGTGACTAAATCTGGAGACATTTATGCACTGCACGCTAACTGAGAATTAACCAAAAAGTGACTGGTGGACTTGAAGAAATGTCACGAAAAGTGTGAACATCCTGTATCCAAGCTAAAAAAACAAAAATGTAGTTGTTTGATTTCCTTTTGGTTCTATTTGTTATCAGGTATTTTTTCATATATATGTATATATTTGCTAAAACATCATTTGATTAACACCCATATGAAGGGGTCAACAAAGATTATAGGCATCACAAAAGCGTAATTATGTTTGACATATTTATTGTAAGCAGAAGGTGTTGGCAGCATTAGTGAATTTGCAAGGCTGCGGCAGCAGTATATGATGATGTTCAGTATTGATCGGTCAATTATCATCAAAATGTTTTATTGATTAATCAATACAACATTTAGTGTAGAAATGTATGGACGTTACTAAATATGACGGACGCCCATCAGATGTACCAGTACCAGAAACCAAAGTGCGATAAAAAACAATTCACAGATGTTCCATTAACTATGACAGGAAATGGAAGACAGCAGTAAATCCTCAAATATGACATTAAGTGTCAACACATGTGACAACATATGTCAAAATATGTGACAACATTTTCAGATGCATACTGTTGTTCTTGTATTCTTAGTTTCTCCCTGCTGTTAGACCGCAGAGTTGTATAATTCCTTTTGTCCGCGAGCAACAAATAAGTATGGAAATGTTCCTGCTTGCAATTCAGCACCATCAAATTGTTAAGGCAGATGGGCTTTGTATTAACATTTTATGAAACTAATTCTGGCCTTATTGAAGGCAATGTGCCTTTTTGTTGTACAGCTGCTGAACAGTGGGTGATGAGAAATGATTTTGTTATTCTCCTGCGTGTTTTATTTTCAACATTAAATACAACCATCTCTGCGTGCATTTGTCTGAGCGGGGCACTTTGCTTTGCAGATTAATGGCAGTAAACACTGTTTTATAAATCAACTCCTGTTCCATATTTCTGCTTTTTTTGTCTTGACGGCCCCCTACCAACCAACCAGCCAAACACACACACACACTCAGACACACACACACACACACACACACACACACACACTCTTGAATTCAGAGACAGAAGGCAGACAGGCCTGCTGTAATCACTATTTGGGGAACATTCTTTGCTCTCAAAAGACACATCTATAAATCATCCAAAAGACTCATTATTTTGTCAAATATTACACCAAGGCCCACAGAATAACCTGCTGTCACTCTGTCCTACTTACAATTATTTGATCAGTAGTGTCTACATCGAGCAGCAACCTTCGGGCTGAAAAATGAAGCCAAAACAGAAGTGCCAAAACTGCAGTTCCTCTAATGGCCACTTGAGTCTGGCTCAATCACCCTGAACCCCCATGTTAAAATGCCCAGCTTTACAGCAGAAATAGGCATGTTTACAGCATGGCACAGAAAAATTATTTTGGTCTCTATAGCCTTGTTTACACATGCACTGCAACCTTGAAAAGACATTACCCGCAGGAGCTGTATGTTAGAACGCAAATGTCTGAATAAGTTGGACCAGGCATAAAACAGACTTTACCTTGCCATATGAATAGTATATAGTCCTTGAAATGTCTCATTGAGCCTACGTATGAATAGAGCAGGTAATTTTCTGAAGAATTCACAGCGAGTGGGTGGGCGTGTTGACGTTTCTGACACATGGTTTGTGTGACATCAATGACAATGTCTAACTGAAGAGATGATGAGATTCGAGAACTTCTATTGGTAAGGGCTGTCACAAAATCGTCAGATCATCAAGATCATCAAAATCGTCAAAATCGTCAATTCAAGGAGCGGCAAGACAGACGGTTGTTTGTGACCACATTACGAACCGGCTATGTAACTGTGGTGTAATCCACATCATGCCCTGTCTCCTGCACAATCTGCCTAGGAGCAACCCCTAAACCAAATGCAGTATTCGAAGTAGGTGAGAATGCCTCAGACAGAGACAATCACCTGTTGTGCGCTACAATAATGAAAGGGAAACTCCAGACATTGTCTGGAATTAATATGAGAAAAAGGCTCATAGTAAATTTCCTTGTTCAAGGGGGTGAATAACTTACCTATTTAAACAGTGTTAATGCATACATTTACACATAATTAGGGACATGGCTGCTTTTAGATCGGAAATGCCTCCGATACTGCATAAAATGCGGTATTGGGTATGGGCAAGTACAGCCTATGACCAATCCGATACCACGTAATACCTCACGTCATTACGCATACGCACGCTACAGGTAAATGAAATGGAGCAGAGTTTAAAAAGCATTCATGTCAAATATCTCTTTTACCAAATTGTGTGGCTGCACTTTAACCTGTGTCTTGATCTGTGTCAACACTGGATAATAATAATAAAAAAAGGTTTATGGCATTCATTCTACTATTATGTATTTATTTCTTAATATTTTACATAGAGTTTTAGGAGTTGAGACATGCAACAATTCATATCCCATCCATTTTTATTTTATGCGCTGGTATCGGATCGGTACTCGGTATCAGCAGATACCTAAGGTTCAGGGATCGGAAGCGGTATCGGGAAGGAAAAAGTGGTATCGGTACATCTCTAATTACCACAGTTAATTATAGCTGTAAATACACCAAGCTAACCAAGCTAGCAGCTAGCATTAGGGTTGGCTCCACCCTCTCGTACAAATATGGTCACTTCTGGCTCGAAAAATCCAAAATGGCAACAGGCAAAAACGACAAACTCAAGGCTTCAGAACAGGAGTCCACAAACCAATGGGTGACGTTACAGTAACGACATCCATTATTTCATACAGTCTATGGTTTACATACACTTCAATCTATATGTTTTGTCTCAGTGGATTGGGGGTGGAATGCAGATGTGATGTGTGTTTCTAAGGTGTGTTGCTTCTCTCACCTGGCTTCCCAGTAGACAGGATGTTCTTGGGGATGGTGACTCTGTCCTCAGAGCTGCGGGCCCAGTCCACCATGCCCCTCCAGCCCTTCATGGGGAAGCTGATGTCTGCATGACCCATCACTGGACGCTTATGGATGCTCAAAACTGTAACACAGAAATGGTGAAGACTGAAACTTTCACTCATTAAACCCTCTTTAATTAACATTTGTATTCTGTTTCTTCATAGTTGCAATCCTACTTCTCTTACTTCTGTCTACAAACTGCAGCTTGCAGTGCATAGGGATGTCTCTATCTGTTTATTTCTCTGTGCTCTACTCATAGGTTAAATTGGGCAGACCTAATTTGGAAAAATTTGATTTCACAAATGTCCAAGCACCAATCAGAATGTAATTACAGTCATGGAGATTTCTTCTGAAGGGTTTGCTTGCTTTTATTGCCAGACCACTGTCAATCAAATAAACCACACTGTCCTGATGAAGCAGTTAGCTGAGTTTGTGAGAGCTAAATTATTAATAAATAATACGCATCATTTTACTGAACCTTAACTTTGAGTATTGTCTTAATAATTCATGAATTTTAATATTTAAAATTTTGAAACTACATTTTTCATTATTATTTCATTATTTTAAGTTGAGCATGTATAGATAGTGGGTGCCATAGGCTGTAAAAACTGTAAGGTCTTATTAAAAATAAAAAACAGTGAAACATACTTTTATGGACACTGTGTTATGTCAGCATGGCCAGATTAACCTGCCTTAACCCCCCAGATCACCAGCGTGCCCAGTTTCACATTATCTTAACTTTTTAGAGACTTGGGAGAAATGAATTGCCCTTTATGGTACAAAGAGTAAATCAACAGATTAATTGTTGAGGCAAAGGTCAGCCACCAGGCCCCTATTAGCCACCCACCTCCTACACTCTGTTTAGTTCTTTTACGCTTTTATACTTCCTGGTCCCAGAGTAACCATGTGGAAGTGTGATTTAAAAACATTAAAGCCGTAGTTGGTAACTTCTATATACATAATTTTTTGTAATATTTTCTGAAACTGACAGTTCACCTGCAGTTGTACATGACACATTTAAGTGAAAAAAATCACATTCCTCCTCCTCCTTGTAGTGCTTCTAATGGCATTTTCAAGAAATCCATCATATATGAACAAAACAGCCAATCAGAAACAAGGAGTCTCCAACGCAGCTGTTAGTCATGTCAATCCCTGCTTGTGAAAGTTTTTATAAACATATTTCTGGGCACCGTTTAGCTGTAAAAAGTTTGCTCTGGCTGGTGGGCGGTGCTCCGTTTTAGTTTTATTGTTTTCAACATGGCGGCCGGGTCACAAACATTCTTATTTTTCAGCTTAACAGTACACTAAAATATGTTTCTGAAAACATGCAAGGTAAGAATAGGCAATGCAGTAACAGAATGTTAATTCATATTCGATAAGCACTGGCTTGTTTGATGGTTTGACTACAGTTTACAAGCACTGATTGACAGCTGCATTCGGGACTCCTCAGCTCTGACTGTTTTTTTTTTCATTCAGGTGTGGTGGATTCTAGCAAATGTCATTCGAAGCACTATGAGGAGGAGGAACATGACTTTTTTCACAGGCTACTGTCTCATGCACTACTATCTAGATGTAGTCACAATGTCAGCAAATATGATAAAAGGTTATTTCTAAAAGTTAACAAGTGTAGCTTTAAGGAATGTAAAATATAAGCACACAGCTGAAATAAAACTTAAACTACATTTTGACATTAGGACCCTCCAGGGACTCAATGTCAGTTAATAAAACAGGTCCCACCTTAAAGCCCTTGTCATGTGCATTGATATTTTGCTTTAGTAGTGAATATTTCAAAATTTCAATTCAATCAGCATAAGGCAGCTGACACACAGAAAGCCTGGAGCTTCAGGGGACCATGGACTTCTGGGGCCCCAGGGCAGTCACCTAGTTGGTATTCCAGCATTGAATGTCAGATATCACTACCAATAAAATACTAAGTTTGATTTAGTATTCAGTGATTGTTCTGTCTGTTTGCTTGTCCACATAACATGCATCAAAATGCGGGGCTAACAAATACGAGAACAGATGCTTTGTTTTGATGCATGTGATACACTGTGTGTTGTTCTGAGGTTCTTTTCTATTTCATGCCAATGAAATACAGTAGTTCACCTTTAAAGACCTTAAACGAAAAGTAAAAAATCTAAAATAGAAGATCATTTTTTGACTCTAACCTCACTCTTAAAATTAATAAACAATATTGTTGAATAAAAGAACCACTAAATCTTCAAGACATAAAAAACAAAAATAACCATGTAGCAGATGAGGTTCAGGTCTGATGAATTCCCTCATCCCTCATCCAACTTGACTACTCTGATGAGTTTGTTGGAAGAAATTCTGATCTAACTATATGTTGCCAGATGATGAGTGTGGCTTTGCTTATGTTCGAGGTGTGGGAGGGAAGAGGAGGTCAGCCGCCCTAGGGGAAGTACGCTGCCGGTGTGGGCGGCTATTTGGCTCCAGACAGCGAGGTGGCACCGCTATAAACAGGACCTCTCATCTGGCCCCAATTCCCACATACTCTCCCTTGACTAAACTCAAACTCTGCCTCGTTTTTATCTGGAGGTCACAGAGAGCAGCAGAGCCTCTGTGATGACTACACTACAGTTTTCCCCCCCCTATTTGAGGAAAATAGAGTGTTTACGGTCGCTGGGCAATGGAAGGAGACAGCAGGTAGTTATGAATGTGGATTTGCTGAACCTGCTGCCCTGGGGAGTGCTAATATTTGTCATGGGTTCCTTCTCTTGATGTAGAGGGATAGAAATAGAATGCTACAGAAAGACAGAGTGTGCCATGCCTCAAGACAATAACATTAAATTATCTGAAACAGAGGATTTTACAGCCAAGGATGGTGGGGAATTCCCAATATCCAAATAAACTAAAGGACAGAATTCTTATCCAGGTCCTGAGTCCAGATTTTCCCAACCCAGAGCCTCCACTGATGACTCCAGGCTACAAATGGAAATACTTCATTGTTTGATTTTGTTTTAGCAACATAAATATACAGATATATAATTGCATCAGTGGGAGAAATTAATTAGATAACTTCCTCTCCATAAAGCTTTAAAGCCAGTTAGCCAAATAGTTTGCTGGGGGATCAAACAATGCCACTGTTGCTATGGAGACAATACAATACTTAAGTGTGCTGTACTACTTAACGCTATCATTAAAAGGTTTACTGTGTGTCCTACTAAATATACGTAAAAGAAAAAAAGAAAAATGAACCCATATAATAAACAAAACAAGTATATCTATAATGAACTATGATGATGTCATCAGGCCTTTCTCAGCATGGGTCTGGAGACTTAAAACTATTTAAAAATTTGATAGATGTGTGTGCTTACCGATCAAGGACTAATTGATTTTGACCATATGACCATTTTTAATTCTTCACTCACAAGTCTAAATGCATGACAGTACAATACTAAGTGACAGGTGCAGCCATTATGATTATTTTATCCTATAGTGTGAAAATATTATTAACGTTTTATACATGTTCAATATTCAAAATAGCCAGCCCATTTTCATTCCCAGGTCATCAAATACCGACACCTTGTTACGGTCCAGACACACCAAACTGACACAAAACTAGAGGCGATGAAGGCCCCCTGCTGCATTACCTGACATCGCAGGCCAAAAAAGTTGTACACAAACACACTGCAAAGACTACAGCCGACGGCCAACCAGTACGTAAGTTCTGCACCTGAGTGAGAGGAAATAACTCTTCACACCAGCAGACAGTGGTAGCCCGTTCTAGTCATTCAAAAAGGGAAACCGGAAGACTGTCATGAGACTGGTTAGCCAGTTAGCACATAACGGCACAATCCAATGTGGAAAGAACAGAGCACATTCACCGTGCACCAGTGAACAATAAGACAAACCATCACATCTGTTTACGAGCTCAATGACTAAAGAAAAATAATCTTACCTGATGGAACAAGTTTGTTTTGATCTCACTCCCTGAGAACACTGATTCAGTATGCTGAAACGGCCATATAAAACAAAAAGGCGACTGAGGTCGACAAGTGTCACCGGTGTGGGACACATCTCACTGACTAGGGTGACAGATGCTCATCGATGGCCCAATGTTGGCCAACAGCCGACAGTTGGCTTGGTGTGTCAGGGTCACGGCATGTGTGATGATAACAAATGCACCCTTTGGCATCTCTCTCAGACACATCTGGTTTTGAACTAACTCCAGTGTAAAGCTAACCACAGCAATCACTGATGCTCAGAGTAACTCATCTAATATAAAGAGTGAGAAAGTCCCTGCGGAATGGGCAGAGGGGGAGGTGGAAGGGTCAAACAAACACAGGACTTTAATCTAGGAGACCACTTTCTGTGTTCTGTGTGAAACTAAAGGTTAATGGTGTTTTAATGTAAGGTTATGTGTATTCTCGCTCACCAGACCTTTCTCAAGAAAAGAAAGGTCTGGCTGGGCCGACTCTCACTTTAAGATTGGAGAAAAAAAAAAAACGCTCTGGCTGCTTGTATTTCTTTCAACCAATCACAATCGTTCTGGGTGGTGCCACAGCAACGGTGCGCTTGCAAAAATAATGTCGGGGGGAAACAGGTTTTGGTGTGACACGCCCACAAAAATATCGCCTACAGGATGCGAACCATGGCAGAAAAATGGCTACATCCCCGCAAGATCAAACACCGCAAAAGTTAGTAAAGGACGTGTTGAAAACGGTTGAAAACTGCTACACAACCGGAGGTGGTAGGGCGGGACTTCAGCAGGTGGCTCGTTCCGCCCAATGAGAGGTTGATCTTTGCAGCGAACTTCCACCCACTCAGACTAGGTTATGTGACTTGCGTCTGTCTGTCGAATACTGACGTCTCTCATGTTGCATACTTATTTTAACCCAAAACATAAGGTTTTTCTAGAACCAAACCAAACAATTTTGTTGCCCAAAACTAACTGTGACTGTGAACGTGTTCCACCCAGGAGACAGCTATGCATCACATCCAGGTGTGAAACAGTGCATCTGTTAGACACCAAAGGGTGCCTTCAGTGTAGGTATCATACACCGAAGGCGAGAAAGTGTTGGTATTGACAACCTGGGATGAGATCACATTAAAATGGCCTGTCATGAATGACTGTTTCATCAACAAGTATTAATTTATCATTTTGTCTGGGACTTCCTTGTGTCTGTTTGTTTGATACAAGTTAGAGAAAAGTCCAATCAAAACCCCTGTTTAAAATATGCCATGATGAATAGTGATCTTGTGGAAAAAACTATCTAATGGTGATATTGTTTCCAAATTACGTAAAACACATATTTGGCATTTCTGGCTTTTTTGCAACTTCTTTTTTCTTATTGGCCAACGTAGCCTAGACAGGCTAAAATCACCCAACAGTACATGCAGCTCTTTCTGGGTGCAACAGTGGTTGCTGTCGGTAAACTTGAGAGTGAGGGCACAGAAGGTGTGTATGTAAGCGTCAGGTCACCTCCCCTGTCGTCCCTTTTATGTATTGCCATTGTAGTTATGAAGATCAATCTTCAGAGAAAGAAAAGCGCCGATAAGAGTGTTTGTTTTGAAAAACACAGATAGCTGTGGGGGATCTCCTGGATGGAGATAAGGCTGACCTAGGTTATCGGTGACTTCATACATGTCTTGGAAGTCTTTCATCCTCAGGCCAATGACATCCACAAAGTCCTCCACCAGACGGAACAGCTCTTTGATGTTTGGCCCCAGCTGAGAAAACAGAGACACATGAAAGTAGAATGAAAGAAAAAGCATCATGGATTTCAGGTGAATTTATATCTGAACTGCTGTTCAAACACTTGACACACAAAAGGCCTTTTACTGTATTTGTGGCAAACCTCGTCATACCAGCCGAGTGCCACCAGTTCTCAGATTCTACACAGCTATGACCAACATGAATATTTCATATAGTGCATCACAGCCAACGTTTCATCTGGATGACAAGAGTACATGCAATTAACTCTAAAGGTATTCTGTCTTGGTTTGTTTTTAAACTCTAGGGACACACTCTAAAACTAAGGAATGAGCAACACATAATGAGTGTGTGGACTTGAATAATGTGAAGACTGCAGTCCTCCTTCATGAAAGGATTATTCAACAATAGCGAGGACAGGTTCAGTTAAGGCAACAAAATATTTGGTAAAGTTTGCCTGAAATGGTACATTGACACTAAATGAAAAGTACAGAAACTTCATTACACTATGAACTGATTTTGGTCCCAGTTTTAAGTGTTCATTTTACCAGCAGCTATTGACTGGACTGCTTTTCCCTGCATTTCAAAATAGTATAAAAACAAATTGCAGAGAACTGAAACTTGATTAAGGCAGCTAACCTGCCACATTATGTCTGCTTCAAGTGTCATTATTTTAATTATTAATTACCACACAATGAAAATGTAAATCTGACAACCTCTTTTTCCCATTTGATGTGATTGTAAACATTTAGGTTATGCTTTGTCAAAGACTTAGTTTGATATGGTAATAATTTGCCTAGTTACCTAACTGTTTTGTGATGATTGCCCCAACGGTTGTTGGGTTAGGTCCATTTATGTGCTGAGCCACACTCTCTCTAAAGTTTGTTGGTTAATATCATCAACCCACAATGAGATATCAACAAGCTTTTGAAAACCTTTGATAAGCTTGGTCCAATAATAAAATACAAAAAGGTTGGTATGAATAAGACGTATGGTTAAAGACGAGATGTCAAAAATGTGTTTTTCAGAAAATTCAAAATGGCAGATAATTTTACAGCAGTCCCATCATGACGATTTGTGTGTCAAATAGCAAGTCAGTCAGACTTATGGTGTGATGGGTGTGTCCTTTCAGAAATAGAATTTTTGAGCCTTTCATTATAGCGCTCCCATCTGGCCACCTGGTGTTGCATTTCTTGAGCAGCATATGCACAAAACTTCCAATCATTAATGAAAATGTTAAGTGTTTAGGATCAAACATCTCACAGGAATTTGTGAAAACATTTAAAAAAAAAAAAAACTATGTCAAAGCAAAATAACAGGGTGTCAGGTCTTCAGGCTTGAACTCCTAATACGTATTGAGAAGTGATTTAAAAGATGTCACTGATTCTGCAAGTCTCAGATCATCAGACAGGAAGTTCCAGAGCTGTGGAACCCTGACTGGAAAGGCCTTGTCACTTTCAGGTTTGAACCAAGACTTCAGAAATGTGATAGGAATAGGATAATGGCAGGATTCTCTTTCTGTACGTTGTGTAAGTATCAGCACAATTCTGTCTGGTAAAATGGACCTAGTTAGCACAATGAAAACTACAAAAAGAATAAAAGCATTTAAACTAGTTTTTAAACCATTGCCTATCTTTACGTTGGGGTCTTCTTGAGATTAAAAACTACTTTAGCGGTGCATACAGAATTAATAAACAGATCTGAAATTAATTTAGACTGTAATTCTGGGGCCCCAGGGGCACATTTGCTTGGTTGGTAATCCATCTTTGGCCCTGATAAAGGTCTGAAGACTGATAGTTTGGCTTTTTGATAAAATGCCTTGCTTTTTCAAACTTAACATTAAAAGCAGACATTGTGCCCACTGGGATAAACTTCCTGACCCAACTTTCAAGTCTCAGCAAGTTACAAACAAGAAATAACTGGAAACCTCTGGCTGCTGAGAAGTTGGGACATACACATTCATAAATATAAAATATTACAGCCACACTAAAAAATGGTGAACTGCGATGTTGTGTTTATACCAAATCGCATTTATTTTAGTCATGTGAATAAGAAAAATTCTTCCAGAAAATAAAGAGCTCTTGGTGAGCCTCAGTTAAAGGTAATAATGAAAGTTGCAGAGTAACTGTATGTTCACACCAAAAGCTGACAGAGCTGCAAAGGCAACAGGTCTAATCTAATTTCAATGGACATGTGGTGACTAGTGTTTTGAGGTGCAAAACCGATGAGTGGCAGCGGTTTGGCGAATTGAGCTGCAAATGAAAGCTGAAGACTGGATAACTTTATGCTAATTAGCTATGACACGTTTGAGCTGCAAATGACCAGCAAACAATTGGAATGTAGATGTCCATCGCTTGTGTGGAACATCCTCGGAAACTTTTAGTTCCTACCACACATTTGTTCCTACTTCAAAACAAGCAGCAACCTGTCAAACTGATCTATGTTCAGCCTGAAGTAGCGCTGGAACCTCTCCCCATCCAGCCGCAGCTCCCGCACCAGCCGATGATATTCCCTGTGCTGTTCAGGCCCCGGAGGATATCGTGAACCCGGACCTGACAGCGGCTACATCCACGAAGGTACCACACGGCAGCAGTGTCTTCTTCCATGTTGAATCAATACACAAGTGTGGACAAGCGCACGTACTTACACAATTTCTTTGTGTTCTGGAACGCTTGTTATTAGCGGGAATGCAATTCATTTGCTCTCCTTACCACCAGTTTAACTAATCGCACTGTAGGCAGTCAAACCCAAACCACTGACAGTGTTTCCCCTAGGTTTACAGCTTTTGGGGGGAATAACATCTAAAAATGTTGCTCATTTTCAGTTCGGGTTTGGCCCACTTGACATGCTGCTGTGTTGTGCTATGGCCTATTCAAGTGCTGGAATTTGTTATTTACGCAACACAGGCTGTGTGTGTTTAATGTTCAATGTCAGACTTACTTAGACTTTTTATTCTGTTTTCATTGTCCAAATGTGAAAGTTTCTGTACTCAGGCAAATGCACAAAGTCACATTTCTGTGTTCCAGCCAGTAACCCGCTTTGCGGCTCCTTTAAATTGAGAAGCATTATCAAACTTTCAGAATTTGATGTCTTGAGCGACTTGAGCTGCTTTCACTGCCACAAATATTTTACCAGTGGCGCTGCTAGAGCGAATTCAGCTATTTTGCAACTCTGGCAGCTTTGGTGTGAACGTACAGTAACAGTAACAACTGTGCCTCCTTCATGTAATCCTTTTATTGTTGGAAAAACACTCTTCTTATTTTGCATGTTATTTGTATTTCAAGACACTGTGCTTATTTTGAGGAGAGCAGGTTGTTTGTTTAGAGTTGTTCTAGTGCGTGGTGAGAAAAGGATGGACAGCTGGACGGCTGAATGCAAGCAAAGATAGTGCTGCATGAGTGGATGAGTGCAGCAGATGGATGAGTGGGTGTTCGCGTTGACTCGGTTACTCATTAGCTATAGATATTTCTGTCCTTCAGCAGCGCTCCTCTCTTTCTACCTCTGTCAGTCTGAAAAGACACAGGTGGGCTGTTTGTCCACCTGCGTCTTTGTCACTCTGTCCAACTCATCAATCCTACAGCTTCAGTGTTGTTATTATTACTGTACACTAAGTTTTACAAAAGATGTAATTATGGATGTAAATCCAGGTATAGAAAGAAAGGGTAATACTAACCAGTTGTGCTTCCTCCCACCTCTCCCTGTTCTCTTCCATCAGCAGATTGCTGACTGACTGCACAAAGTTCTGGAAGACAGAGAGAAAATGTTTCACATGATGGCACATGGTCAGACCTGAAGGTATTCACAGGATAAGGCTGGTAATAGTCTCTTTATTTCTTCTGTCCATTCTTCTGTATGTATCATAATATTGATACATAGGGAATATATTATATTCTATTCCTCTGTTTGAGTAATGTTTCCTGAAAAACTACAGTGACCCGTTTTTAAGGATGTCCAAAACCAAACCAACCAAAAACACTATCAAACTGCACTACAGTACATATATTCACATGTATTAAGAATGACCTACTCATAAAAACATACCATACAGCCACTTGTTTTCAAAAACTCCACAGCAGTATCTTTCACAATAAAAAAAAAAAATAGAATATCAACCTCATCCGTTAAAACTGGGGTAGGCAGTTTTATTTTGGTGTCACTGGCCAAAAATCCCATAATGACCTTTAAGCATATTGTATTTCAAGTGGACTAAGAAAAAAATAGACGTCTGCACCTCCTCTTGGCTCTGTTTTCAGGCATTAGAAAATCTAGCAGATGAAGGGAGACCTTAGCCAATCACAGGTCATTTCAGAGAGAGGGCATTCCTATTGGCTATTTTATAAACACAGATGAACATGCACATCCACCTTGGTGAAAGCTTGAGTCAATGGCCTGAAGTCCTGAAGAGAAAGTTGCTATTCCAGCATTGGCAACAACTGCCTATACTCCAAAGCAACCCCAAAAAGGAAGACTGACTTATCAAAGAGAGTCACATTCTCACTCTGACCTCATTACATATCAACTTTGGTTATGGACTTTCCACGTCAACATATAACGTGCAAGGTACCCTGGGTGCGTTGGTTGTTGACGTTGTGGGACGGCATGTCAACTTAAGCCTGTTACAAGCTTTGTCTGTTTTCAAAATACACCTCCATTTTCATAGGAAATGTACAGTTTTCATACAGCCTCTTTGTCAGTACAACACTGCAATTTGACATGTGTTTCCTTCAACAACACACTCATGTGGTAGGGTTCAGGCAAAAAGAACAGGGTTTGGCTTTACAATGACACAGGACATGAACACCGGCCTCTCAGGTGAAAGTCAGTGGTTACTGGACCCATCCACCCCACTCAGAACCCCCCCCCCCCTCCAAGTTGTTGTCCCGCAACATTTCCTCCTGACGCCACCAGGTGCTGTTACACAATAATGGCGACCAGCCGTGTATCACGCCGACATGCCTGACGCTGGAAGTCACTGCCAAGCTCTGTATCTCACAACTTCGGAGCAAGACTGGCCTGAAATATCGGCATGTTTCAGAGATGGAGAGAAAATGTTGCTCATAGTTTAGCCTTCTGCTAACCAGAGCTGAGGGCATATGACTGCCATTTCATGTTCACATTTATGTAGCTAATGTTAACTAGAACCTCGGACCACAACGCTCCCTGCCGCTACGGACCATCTCGCTGGGAGAAGAGGGGGCAGAAGCTCTAGGGACACACCTGTGTCAGTGGCAGTTGCACCCCACATCCAGCCAGCGCAAACCCCTGCTCCCAGGGACAAAACAGCTCTACCAGATAAGCAAACTTTCTGTTGCTGCTGTGTCAAAGGATAAATGTTCATCTAGTGGGAGGGGCTTAGGACAGAGAGGTGAGAGCTGACGGAAGAGGGTGTATTTTCAAATTCTGCCATTTTCCTTGCCTTTTCAAGATTTCTGCCTACCCCAGGTTTTTTTTAGGTTTTTTTTTGTCATCATATGGTTACACCAATACTTGAAATTCTAACAGTTCCTGCTTCTGAGCCGTGTTCCTCTAAATCTGACCAATCCTTGCTATAAAATGTAATCATGTATCAGAGTTTTCACCTTAACTGTAATATTGTTAGGGTAATATACACCCTCAAACCGCATTACAAACAGCAGTAAACTCATATATCAATTCACCCTCATGTCTGCACTGCTGGGACTGTAGTATGCCCTCCTGAAAATCTCTGTCATGTTCTTCAGCACGTCCACGATGGCCAGCAGGTCCCCACTGTAACTGGTCCCATCACTGGATGTCACCCTGAGCTTGGTCATCACCTCTGAAACTCCATCTCCCACAAGGCCACGCTGTGCTTTGGACAAGTGTTCCCGAGTCTAACAGAGAAAATGGGTGCTGTTAGTTTTGACAGCAAGTGATCAACACCTTTGTGCCTTAAGAAGCAAATTTGAGAAGCCATAATCAATGTTTTCACTTGGTTATTTTACTTTGAGGCTACCAAGAGTGTAAAAGAAAAAACTTCTTGATGCTCACCAAAGTCTGTATACTGCGATAGTCATTGGAAATGCATTTCATATAGGTGGGATTCTCCCAGTAGGCGATGCCCTCTTCGTCCAGGGTGCAGCGGCGCAGGATAAGCCCTGTGTGAGATCGCATGAATATTTATCACCACAGTGTGTTTCTAATCCAACTCCTAAAACTACCAGTGGACACACGCGTCTTCCAGATGGTCAGGTGTGAGCTCACCCATGGCATTGGGAGGACAGCGTACTGCGGCAGTATCCCCAGCTGGAGTCATCTTCCATACAACATTGGAGAAGTTGTCCTCGCCACATATTTCATGAGGTTCTGTTCACAAAAGGAGAGTCAATGAGCATCATGCAAGGTATCAACATATAGGCTATCATGGAAAACTGGTTACAGTTGGGGTAAAGACAAAAAAGTGCAGAAAAAGGCAGCTCAGCGAACCATGTTGCTACCACTGACCTGGGCATCTCTTTTCATTACAGCGCCTGACCTCTTCTCGTTCTCCAGGACAGGGCTGCCCTCCAAAAAAGGGCCCATAACAAATCCTGTTTCTCTGCTGGCTCCCCCCTCCACAGGTTTTAGAACAGCCTGACCACAAAGACCACGGCTGCCACTTGCCATCCACTGACAGAATGCAAACAGCAACAGTGTTAGACAGGACTTTATCAAGCACAACAAAACACACACACATCAGTCATACAAACAGATCATTTCAGCGTTTTAATAGTTTCTGCTCCATTTAGTACAAATTATATATCATTTACATTGACTGCAGACTGTTTTTTTTAAAACACATTGTACTGTGTTGAATTTTTAGTATTTATATCCCCGGAGCATAAAAATTAACTAGCAAAGACTTGAAATTTGCTTCATGCAATTCATTGATAATTCATAGCATTCTGAAATTAATGAAAACCGAACAGTCTGGAAGGCAGGAACATACATTCATCACTTCAAACCACTATGAAACACTGCTAAGAAAAACACTAACAAAGAAAAGTTTGTTTGATTTGTAGAGAATGTGGAGTTTGGTGAAAGGCAGCTACACAAAATATCATTGACTGATATCAGCACCATAAAAGACATGAAAATTAAAGATTCATGGTAAAAAATATCACTGTATAACCAGACAATACAAATTATGGACAAAAAACAACAACAACGAGGTGACACCATTGCCATGTCTTGAAAAACACAATATGTTCAGCTTTGAAAGCTTCATAAGCTATTCTAACTTATTTTTAGATGCCTATAGTCATGCTCCTTGTCTGCATAATGAATCATCAACAAGACACCAGCACACCAGTAGAGTCAACACAAGTGCCTCAGCAAACAATAACTGTTACATTGTCATTCATTCATTAATTTTCTGTTCTTATCCTGATGGGGGTCACAGGGGGCCGGAGCCTATCCAAGCTGACATTGGGCGAGAGGCAGGGTACACCATGGACAGGTCGCCAGACTATTACAGGGCTGACACATAAGGCCCGTTTCCACCGCAGGAACTTCGGGGTAATTTTACGGGGCCAGGGCCATTGGTGCGTGTCTCCATCGCAGGAACCACCCCCGAAGGACAGAGTTCAAGTCCCTGCCTTGGAGTAGGTACTCAGAACGGCCCTGAGAAACTCCTGGCTGGGGCTTGGGGTTTACTTGGTTCTGATTGGATATACTCAAGACGGGATGTGACGTCAACAGAAAGCGGCAAAATAGCCGGCATTTTTAAAACTCAGTAGACGAGGGTTAGCTCGTTCATAGCTTCAGTAACTCAATAAACGGTCCGTGAAAAAAATATTTTTTCCAGCGGATGTCTTAGTTACAACATGATTGAGCTAGCAAAGCAGTTTTGTGTTGCTATGTGTGGTATTTATTAAGTTTTGGGAAATCACGATGTCTAGAAAGCTGCAGCTGACAGGGACAGCTAACAACAGCAGCAAAGCTAACATCAGAACGTCATCTGTTAAAAGCCTCCAATTGTCGGATATGACATGAAACTACTCCAGTTAGCTCAGTCATGTGGTGACTAAGACATCTGCTGGAAAAAAAAAATTTCACGGACCGTTTATTGAGTTACTGAGTATTACAGACACCGCTAAGGGCTAACAGCTAACGGCGTCCCTACTGTCCCTATGCCCCTATGTCGCCCTGGTCAAAATGGTTGCGCAATGATTACATCATATCCAGAGCCCGGTAACTTTACAGGAACCTTCCTCCTACTCCGATCTCTCAGTGGAGACACAGTGGTTGAGAGGGCCGAGCGAGAGGACGTTCCTGTAGTAGTTCCTGCCCCCCAAATAGTACCAGGAATTTCTTCAGTGGAAACGGGCCTAATGAGACAGACAACCATTCATGTTCTCATTCACACCTAATTTAGAGTCAATTTACCAATTAACCTGCATGTCTTTGGACTGTGGGAGGAAACCGGAGTACCTGGAGAAAATCCACATTGACACAGGGAGAAAATACAAACTGCACAGAGGGGCTCCCACACCTGAGGGTTCAAACCCTCCACCCTGGATTTGAACCAGGAACACCTCTTGCTGTGAGGCCACTACAGACATACCTGTATTTTACATTTATGTGGATGTATTTCTGTGTGGATTTGCAGATGTATTTTTTCTGTGTGCATTTGTGGATTTTTTTTTCTGTTTATAATTTTGTGGCTCCTCCTGTGGACAGGTGTTGCAAATTAGTGTTTGCTATGAACACTAAATACAGCACATCTGGTTCTTGTGCATGTCTTTATCTAATAAGATACTGGCCAATTAAAACTATAACTTTGCCTGAATTTAAAACAACAGCAAATAATTTGAAAACAATCAATTTCAGTTTTCTGTACTTTAAAGTTTTCACTCTTTGTGCTTAAGACATATATGGTCTGTGCAAAAAAAAGACAAAAACACTACTGATAGTTTATAGTGTGCAGTATGAAAGTCAAATAACATTTTTTTTTTAATTATTTGAATGTAATTCGGCTTCTAAATGTCATCCTGTGTCTGAAATAATGAATCTGGTTTGTTGCATTCTGGAATCGTCTCCCCTTTATGCTTTGTAGGAAATGTGCCTTTATTTAATGGCCTGTCACCTGCATCTACTTAAATCGTTCCCACCCTACTGGATCAAACATACAAAAAACACTGGCACGGTCCTTTGAAGTCACACGTCAAACCATGTAGCATAGCTTAGACATTTCATTCATCAAGCCAACACCCTGTGCCAATTGTGTGTTCAAAGGATTTTGATTGTGTATGCAGTCCCAAGGCAAATTATTCAGTAACTAAAGAGCCACATCTTAAAACAGAAACAGAAAAGACCTGCTGTACACATCCATCCTGAGAGATTCTAGTAATTCTGTTGTGAAATATCTCTTTCATACCCGGGCACTCCCCAAGGAAGCAGTCAACAGTCTCCAGCCATTCTCCTCTGCACTCTGAGCCTCCATACGAGGGGCCGTTACATTCCCTGGTTCTCTGCATGGTCCCATTAGAGCAGGAGGCGGAGCAGGAGCTCCAGCTGGACCACTCATTCCACACTCCATCCACTGAGAGTGGCCAGGGTCACCAATAGGAGGCAAACAGAAAAGAAAGGACATGGAAAAATGTCACTTATTTGGTGCAATATGGATAATACACTATATTATCATAGATATTGTAATAATAAAATTAAGGTGCATTTCATGAGTGCACTTCCACATGGTCCTCACTGCTGAACATTTCTACTCTGACATATCAAATCTGCTTGTATTCTTTGTGTAGTTGTAATTCAGAGTGTGAAAGGTACTGATGTACATTACACACTGTAGTGTTTTGTTTAGGTCAAATGTTGTGGTAACCTATGGACCAGCTTTGCAGGTTCAGTGATCTTAAAACCAACATTTTCAATGAAGTTGGGGGGCAAAGTGTTTATAACTTTCCCAAGTAGTCACACTTGAAGGCAGGGAAAAAAGCCCATCATCATGGTGGGATCATATATGATGAATCATCTCAAAGGCATTCCTGGCATTCGTTGGACTGTACACATACAGTAAGAAAAGGGCACAAGTAGTTGTATAAATGGCTGGATACAGTCATGATTCTGTTTATTCTACATAAGGTGTCTGGTTGTCTGACTCACAGGATGTAGACTGAGCATTTAAGATTGTCATTGGCCCACTATTTTGAGAAAGAATTCTCCTCCCGTTCCACTATCTGTGTGTTACAATTTCATAATCCCTGTCGCTACGTGAAACAACAACAACAACAACAACCTCCAGGCTAGTAACCTATACCCTGGCAAGTTCTGACAAAGATATCGGCCGTGCCATAGGGCAGGCCTGTTTGTTCTTTTGGTAAAAAGTTGTAAAGATATACAAATGTTTAGGATATCTGCTGTCTAACAGGGCCATTCTTGCATGTTTGCCCACTGGTTATGGAAAAGTTTAATATTCCAAGCATGGCCTATTGTCTTAGTGAGCTAGCATGAGTAAACACTGAGACACTGTGTAAAATTGCCATGGTAGATGGTAATGGTAAATGTCCCCAGGAAGTGTGCCAGGCTTTGAAGCCAATTTGCATAGTGGCCAAACAGTGAAATTACATCTGTCACATGATGCCCTGCAGACTAAAAAGACTTGAATGACTAAAAAGACGTCTGTAAATCAGGGGACACATTTTTTGAGCACTTTGCACCGCCCAATATAATTATGACTGGTTTAAAAAAAATACAAACAAGTAATTTTTGACCCTTAGAGCAGAATTATGATGGGTTCAGCCAGACTAGGGTTGGGTTGGTATGAGAAAAAAAAAAACGGTCCGTTTTTTGTAAAAAAAAAAAAAACTGCATCAAGTCGGTAATACTGGATTTTCTCCACTTGGGGGCGCAATTGACTCATTTAAAATAAAAAATGACCTTAGGACAACAGAGTGACAGTAACAAGTTGTTTCTTTTATTCCTTACAAATAAATTTTGCAGCTTACTCAATCAGTGCAAACAAGGGTTGCCTCATTCATCTGGCTCAAAGCCAAAGTATTGCCATAGTGGCGCATTCCTTGATTTCGTCGAGACTAAATTGTCTGCTATTATCGACTCCCCGTCACTATTAAACAAACTCCAGGCTACAGAAGAGGTGCATGCGCACTCGCACCTCCTAGCTCAGTCCCCGCCCCACCCCCCTCTCTCTCCTGCTTGCTGTGCGCTCGGTGAAGAGGCAGACACAGGTGCTCACAGACTCGGGCGTACTATAAGCGGAGCGGACTACGTGTAAAAATGTCAGTGAAAAATCCCCGCGATGTGAAAAATACATGCCGAACAGTCTTTTGTGTGACACTGGTGCGCGGCGTGGAGTCCACGTGGTCGTGCTTTGCGCACACAGGGCTTGCGGACGTCCACTTTTACCGGGCGGACCCCCGCGGGGTACGCTCCGCATACGTTCTGCCCGAGTATGCGGTCCGGTCGGTCTCAAAAAATAAAACCCGGTCCAAGACAGAGTACCGGACTGAATTGGTATTACCGAGAACCGACCCAACCCTAAGCCAGACTGTTCTCCAACCCTTTCTCCACATACATCTATAGGCCACAGTCATTTATTTTGGAATACAAATTAATGAAAAGCCCCTTGTGGTCACAGGGATTAACATGCTCCCTTGCCAACCCATGGATGCTTTAAGTACATCTTTAGGTTTAACCCTTTTGTTTGAATTTTTTGTAACATTTGATTATTATTTTTTTTTTTTTTTTGATAAATAAGTAATGAATGTGTTCCTTACCTGGACAGACAGCTATGTTGCAGAATTTGGTCTGTTTCTCTGGGCCCTCACAGGGATCTCCCCCAAACTGTGGGGGGGTGCAGGTTCGTGTCCGTGACCTGTAACCTCGGCCACAGGTCGATGAACACAAACTCCACGGTGACCACTCGTCCCAAGCGCCGTGCACTGCAATCAGAGCAGCTAGGGTATGATTTATAGACAGACAAACACAGGCCCCCTGGATACACCTGAACAATATGAGAGAGAACTTCACTGATAGCTGACTGCTATAGCTGACTGCTATAAGTTACCCTGCTGTTTAGCTTTACTGGGATCATGTATGCTGATTCATGGCCCTGCGATAATGTTGCCTTCTAAGTTGAGGAGTCTCCCTGCCTGTCTGCATGTAGGAGAGCCTGAGAACCCTGCAGAATCTCTGTTACTATAGGGGGAGTGACTCTAAACTGCAGGCAAAGTGAGGGTGGAAACCAACCCAGGGGCTGCCAAGTGCCTGAGGAGGGGAGTCAGGTGGATCTTGTATGGGTGAGGCAAGGTCCAGGAGAGGGCTGGGCGAGCGCAGGAAGTTGGCAGTGGGGGAAGCATGGGGGGACGGGGCTTACCTGGACAAACAGCAGAGTTGTTGCAGGGTCTCTGCTCTCGCAGTGGCCCACTACACTGGGTGCTGTAGGAGGAGGACACACAGAAACGAGTGCGACTCTGCCAGCCCTCCCCACACGTGGCAGAACACACACTCCACGCTGACCACTCCTCACCTGAAGCTGAGTCTACTGAGGAGGTAGGGTGGGTAAAGGATAGGAGGATAGAGGGAGAAAAAAGAGGAAAAGGAAAGGAGAGGGCCATAACTAATTACCATGCAGGATGCAGCCTCTGTGGCCAAAAGAGGAAGGGTTGTGGTGTGATAAAGGGTGGATTCTAGCTGAGCCACATTTTAAAGGCCGCCTCCTTCGAAGGCCTCAAAGGTTCCTCCAAATGTGGCTGGTACATGAGGCCTTATTTTGCAGGCATATCTGGTGGTCCTTGATGGCCCTCAGTATTCCAAATTATTGGTCACTTGAAAAGACAATGATACGAACTTGTCTGTAGACCATCTCATTTGGAAAGGACCTGCAGGTCCAGCCCAACAAACCCCTAAAGCTGCATCCTTCAAAGGAGGTGGCCCCTGAAATAGACCCCAGCTTCTGCTCTGCTTGTCCTTCTTCATCTGTGGGGCTCTGATGTCATATCCTTTGCATTAACTTCCAGGGGAAGTGAATGCCACTGGCTTAGGATATGTCAGTCATCTTTTTGATGGCCATGACTGCCGATTTGATGGGTCAGTTGACCAGAAAGGGAAAATTGGGCAGTCACAGCTGGGGAAGCAGGGAGAAGAGAACTAAACAGGAGGTGGGGAATCGGTTCGCAAATTAAAGTGATACTTCACACAAAGTCTATCTCTTATATCAAACCTGCACAACCTGTAGGCAAGAAAGGTTTGTACTTTTCCCCAAAGAACACTGGGTGTAGTCAGCTTAGATTCATATCAGTTACTATGAATTCCGAAAGTTTTTTGTGATGGACAAATGTCAAAAAGGAAGCCAATCCTGCAACAGGATCCACGCTCCCTGTATCCATCCATTTGCTCATTTTGTTAGATATGACTAAGCACTGACACGGATCCAAGCTGATCATAGCCTGTTGTCTCTCTGAAGAAATTAACCACAAACCTTTTACAGCCACCTTATGAGGTAATAGTCCAACATTTTGGGGAATACACATATCTGCTTTCTGTCCAAGGTCAGATGATAATATTGATAAACACTTTGTTGTCTCTGCGTTAGGTAGGGAGCTAAATGTGGCATGCTATGCCATTGTTCCAAAGGCCCATAATGCCAAAACTTCAACTGTCCAATAAATGTCCCATTCGTCCTAAAGCCAACTCTCCCAAACAGAAACACATGGATAATTATTATGCAGTATGATGTCACTGGACCTTCCTACTATGGCTAAGGTATGACCTGCCCTACTCTGCCTCTGATTTGCTCACCCTTACCCAGCAGGCCACCAACTGTATTAGATGTTGATATTTGGTTGAATTTGGATTTTGACATTGGGCAGACTCACAAGTCAGTCTTTAGACACTTTGCTTAACTAAAGACTGATGACTTTCTCCCTGATTTTGTGTTTAGATGGGCGGATACAATTTCAGAGTTTAAAAAACTCCCTACGTTGCAGAACCAATAGTAAATCTGCAGGGCGGTCCTTCGGTGGCTTGCTGAACTCTTGTGCTTGTAAACATAGTCCCACTAGAAACACGTGTAGCGGTACAAAATAGCTCAGCCGTGCTCACAGAAAACGCCGTCAAAGTTAGTGGATGTTTGTCACGTTTGCGGCGACACATTCTCGCCAACTAAAAGAAACAAACATAATCTTTTACAAGGCCATGACTCATCCGTCCGGCCGGACTATAGAGGGAATTGCCTTGTTGTTTACAAATACTTCCGGGTAGAAAACCAGCAGAGCTTTTAGCTATATATATAGCCTATATATCACATTTTTCACATCACTGTATCACCATTTGGACTAATCCGATGTTTGTAAAGTCTATAAACACAATGATTGAACAAACATTACTATTTCTGTGTGCACGTTTAGCTGGGCTAACTGTTAGCTGTTAGCCCTGTTAGCTATTAGCAGTGTCTGTAATAGGTAATAACTCATTAAACGGTCCATGAAAAAAATATTTTTTCCAGCAGATATCTTAGTTACAACATGATTGAGCTAGCAAAGCAGTTTTGTTTTGCTATGTGTGGTATTTATTCAGTTTTGGGAAATCACGATGTCTAGAAAGCATCAGTGGCTGCAGCTGACAGGGACAGCTAACACTAGCAGCAAAGCTAACATCAGGACGTCATCTGTTAAAAGCCTCCCATTGTTGGATACGACATGACACTACTCCAGTTAGCTCAATAATGTTTTAACTAAGACATCCACTGGAAAAAATATTTTCTTCACAGATGAGCACACGTTTGATGAAACGGAGTTAAATCTCTCGGCATCCATTTTCAAGCTCTCTGTGTGTTTGTTTCCTTGCGGACGAGAAAAGGGGGAGCGCACATTTCCGAGAAGGCGTGTCCTTTTCAAAAATGCAAGAGGCGTTGCTTTGTTGCCGGCCGTTTTCGCCGGTGTGTTAAACACACTTTAGAAAGGAGTGTCCCCAGACTATCAGAAGGCGGAGATCTCTGATTGTCTGGTGGCGAGACTAGACGTTGGGTGACAAAAATTCAACGTCTAAAGCCAACCACAATTTGAATACTGATGACAGACAATGTTGACCTTTTGTTGGTTTTAAATTGTGTTGTTAAAGGGATTGTGCACCCAAAAATGAAAATTCAGCTATTATCTACTCACCCATATGCCGACGGAGGCCCTGGTGAAGTTTTAGAGTCCTCACATCCCTTGCAGAGATCGGCAGGGGGAGCTGCTAGCACACCTAATGGCTGACGGTGCCCCAGACTAACATCCAAGAACACAAAATTGAAACCACAAAGTATCTTCAACATGCTCATCTGTAGTGATCCAAGTGTCCTGAAGCCCCGACATAAAAAGTTGTTTCGAAAAACGTCATTTGAACTCTGTTTTTAGCCTAACTGTAGCCTGTAGCTCTGACTGCTTCTCTGTGCTCCGCGTTCACGTGTGAGCGCGCTCAGAGTGATCGGTGATGCACGGTCTCTGAAGAGCAGCAATCTCGTCAGTACTGATGTCCAGATTTTCAAGTGCAGGCATCGCCAATTCCCAGTCTGAGCAGCAAAGACTTTCCTCACCCGTTGGCATTGCTTTGCATTTGAAACAACTACACCACCAGGTTTCCAGTGCTTGACTCTGGTATTCTGCAGCTGGCTGAGGCTCATGAGCTGCTGCGGCTGCTTCGTTCATTAGCCTGAGTTCCGCGTCCGTATACTCGGGCTCAAACAAATACGGCTCAACAAAGAAATGCTGTTCCTCCTCAATTTCAAAGTCTTCAGACATGTTGGGCTGTTCTTTGCTAAAAGACCGTAGTGCAAATTATCTTTTAGGTACTGTGGTTACCGTTGTCTCTCCCTGCGGTGCACGTATCATGTGATGTATACACGGGTGAGCAAAGCTCATGCTTTCGCTGGTTTTTCAAAACAACTTTTTATGTCGGGGCTGCAGCAAACTTGGATCACTACGGATGAGCATGTTGGAGATACTTTGTGGATTCAATTTTGTGTTCTTGGACGTTAGTCTGGGGCGCCGTCAGCCATTAGGCGTGCTAGCCGCTCCCCCGCCGATCTCTGCAAGGGATGTGAGGACTCTAAAACTTCACCAGGGCCTCTGTCGGCATATGGGTGAGTAGATAATGGCTGAATTTTCATTTTTGGGTGCACTATCCCTTTAAGCAACCAAAATCCAACATTTTCAAAACATCTAGTGCCAATGTCATCTTGACAAAGAATAATAATGTTTAGGCATAAGGTACAGAGAACAAAACTCAAGTACTGCAAAACATCATAATGTTAACATCCCAGCAAGGTGAAATTGTAACGTCGTTAGACATTTAAAATATCTTTAACCTGACTTTAATTCCAACCAAAATTTAATATCTGTGAGACGTAAGAATCCAATGTCTGTCTGACATCACACTGAAGTCTGGTGCCAGCTGGGAGTATTCTTACTCTGACCTGACCTTATCACTCCTCATGCCTCATCAGCAAACCAACCAATGAAGTACTAGCCAGTCAGTATCAGAGTAGGGAAGGTCTTCGCCATAGTTGGAGGGTCTAATGACATTGTTTAGCATAACAATTAGCCATATGCTTGTGTTTGGGAGAGTGCCATTGAAGAAACATTTCTTTAGAGAAATTAACACTTGTTTTCGGAATAACAGGCTGTCATACAAATGGGCTTTCTGTCCAATGGGACATTTCTGGACTATTTCGGCTTTGGAATTATGGGCAGTCCCAGAAGTGATTAGCCTAGTCAGTTTAGCATAAAGGGGGAAAAAGCTTGCCTTGCTTTCTCCAAGTTAAAAAAAGACGCAGTTACATCACCCATAAAGTTTGATATCTATCGTGCACAAAACGCCAGGTAGTAGCTATTGTTCGCTAAGAAAAAGTTATAACATTTACTCTTTTTATACTTGAAAAGAGTAAGTGTAAGTAAGTTTTTTTTAGTGAACAATAGCTACAACCTGGCGTTTTGTTGTCATGGAAGATACAACGTGTTCATTATTTAGCTTTAGAGGTGTTGGTGGATATATTTTTGAACTTCAGACAGAGCCAGCCAAGCTGTTTCTCCCTGTTTCTTGTCATTATTCTAAGCTAGGCTAAACCCATCCTGATTTTAGCTCCATATTCACCACACGAACATGAGACTGGTATCTAACTCTTAGAAAGAAAAGGTAACAAATAAGCATATGTTCCAGTTGGTTGAACTATTTCCTCCATCCTGCAGAGGATGGAGTACTTGCTTCTGGTGATTTTGGGTGGAGTATCACTTTAACAGAGAGGGAGGACTCCATTAGATATAGTGTTTTACAGACAGGGCACAGTGTCCTGTTATGACCTCACATTAATACAATTTCACTATGTTCAGTCAGGGTCCATGTTGGAATTAGTCCGTTGCGGACGAGGCACTGCTTTGGGAGATTTTGATAGATGTGTGCGTTAAATGTGAGTGCAACTCTCCTGTGTGTGGTTGTCATTGTGTGTATCTTGTACAAGTGTGGTGGTCACCCAAGCTGCCACAGTGACTGATGCATGGGATCCCTCTGCGTCCCGTTGTCTTACCTGTCTGAGGGTTCTGCTGTCCACTGCGGGGCTTGTCTACGTCATCGCGCTTGCGGCTGTCCACCGAGCGAAGCGATTGGCTGCGAGAGAGATGGCGACCTTTGCCTAAAGGGGGTGAGGCAAGGCCGGGGGGGAGGAGGGGGCGGGGGTTAGCAACCAGAGGTCCTTCATTAATGGCTTATATTTGGGACACAACCGTGACGTGATTGGTCACCCAGAACAGCATCAGCCAAACTTGGGACTTTTGTTGTGCTGTTGGTATTAATGTGCTGTAAATGTGTGCAGTGCTCATTTTATGTTTTCAGCTGGTGTATAATAATGTTTATCTGAGTCTTCAAATGCCTCTGATGGCATGACTAAGTGAAAAAAAAACACAAACACATCTACAGTAATGACAATCTGCTGTTCGAGCTATTTGTCAGACAGAAACATACTGCTAGTTCTGTACAAATGAAGGAGAAACATTAAGTGAAAGCACTAAGGCTTCTCGGTAAATAGCTTCTACATAATAGAGCTCAGATGTTGATTTCCTGTGTCCTTTTAGCCATTTGTGAGTGTAATGATTTTGACATACTGTGCATGCATGGTCTTGAAAACGCTTGACCATGTCAATATAATTTCTCATCGATCAAAGTCCCCTTTCCAACATGCACTCCTTAAGTCAAAACACTGACTTATAGAGGATGGATACACAAACAGATGGACAAGACATACAAAAGAAAGTATAACAAAAAATAGCTGTGAAAACACACTTTGCACACACCACACACTCATAATTAACCACAAAGCGTTAAAGGGCAACTCTCTGACAGATAGATACGGATGTGTAGAAATATGAATGGAAGCGCACACAGAAGATGAGGAGCTCACCAGTGCAGGGCTGTGAGTTACACGGCCGGCCTTCTTCCACCACACCTTCACACAGGTACGACTCTTCTGGAGGTGACTGACAGCTTCGGGTCCGAGTTTGAATCCCGCCTCCGCACTCACTGCTGCACTGCGCCCACTGACCCCACACACTCCAGCCACCTGGAGAAATACATGCCAAATCACAGCGGCCATTTATGAAGCATTTTTGTCAACCCCCGATCACAGAGTGGACAATATCAAAGACGTTCACAACGTCATCATTGTCAGGTGAAAGACCTGCATGTTTGTAGACAGAAATATATTTTGTCTTTCCTTATCCCTGTAATTATCTTTTGACCCCCTGGAGGGTCCCAGCCTCTATGTTGGAAAACACTGATATGTATCTCACTTCCAATATTTAAACTGCATTAAGTAGCGTATGTTTACTAGGGGTGCAAACAAATATGAATTATTCAGATACGCATAGATAATGCTCCGTGAACAGATGCAAGCATGATGCAGATATGTCAGAATGTAAACAAACAGACTATAGGAAACGAACATGGAGGGATTAGGCATGTCACAATACCAGTAAAAAATAATAATAAATTCATGTAACTATCCTTGATCCCTAATCCAACAGTAAAAAAACAAAAACAATAATAACACTTAAACATACACTCCTTTATTAAAAACATTTCAATTAAGTGTTATTTTAGTTTAATCTTTAATCCCTGATGAGCCGCCTCAAACGCAAACTACTAGTCTCTGTGGGTTCATGAGATTTGGTGGGCATGAAAACATATATTAATATATAGCCTAGGCCCTACAGTTTATTAACATATTTCTTCTCCATTGGTGATGTTTAGCACTCATACATGTAAGATGTGACAGTTGGTTTTTGTGGTAGGCTATTTGTCATGCCCAGTTGTGTAAGGTAGTAACAATGGGCCCTAGAGTACGCTATTGTGACAGGCCCTAGTGCGCCCTAGTTACTAGTTATACACACACACACACACACACACACACACAGTTAGGTGTATATATACAGTGTTGGATAAGGGTTACTTTAAAAGTAATAAAAGTACGTTACTGTGTTACTTTTTAAAAAGTAACCAGTTACTTTACTGCGTTACTCTCTGAGTAAAGTAACTCAATTACTTTAAAAGTACTTCCAACGTTACTCCCTGAGTAAAGTAACTCAATTACTTTAAAAGTACTTCCAACGTTACTCCCTGAGAAAAGTAACTCAAGCACTTTTAAAGTACTTTTGAGTATTCTACATTTCCTATTGGGCAATGGACCACAGGGCGCTAAGCCTACATTTTTCTGTCTACAAAATTAAAGTTATGGACCACTTGCCCTTCACTGAGATCCAATTCTCCCATCACAGCCGTCACTTTGACCAGTAGAAACACAGAACGATCTGCTGCCGTAGACAGCTGTGTGACAACAACACCCCAGCATTTTTAATATTTCCTCTAGGGATGTTACCACACAGAGTAAAAGGGGGAAATGATGGTGTGAAACAGCAGAGGCACTTTGTCAAACCGCTGAGTTAACGTTACTGTCATTAGCATCAAGCTAGCAAACAATGGTACATCCTCACGGTCGGACATAAAGTAATAACATTAACAAATAGCGGCGGGGCTTTTACTCACCACAACTGCAGAGGCTCCCAGCTTCATTTGAAACAAACTACATTATAGACGGTCCGTTATTTATTAATCCCTCTGTGTGTTTATATATTTACTTTTTATCCGCGCCGTTGTCTTTGTAAAGTTAACACATCGCACCGTCATTTCAAACTCAACACTTGTTTCAAATTAAAAGCCCCTTATAACTACTGCAGCCAGGCTGACTGAGAGTCAAAGCTCTATTGAGCCTTGTATTCCTTTAGCCCTTAGCAGGAATGATTTTATGAGCTTTTTTAATGACAAAATTCTAACTATTAGAGGCAAAATTCATGACCTCCTGTCCTCAGATAGTACCTATCTAACCTCAAACACAGCTGTAAAACCTAATATATATTTAGATTGCTTCTCCCCAATTTCTCTTCAAGAATTGATAGCAGTGATTTCTTCATCTAAATCATCAACGTGTCTCTTAGACCCCATCCCAACTAGGCTACTTAAGGAGGTCTTTCCTTTAGTTAACACTCATATATTAGATATGATCAATCTATCCTTATTAACAGGCTATGTACCACAGTCTTTTAAGGTAGCTGTAATTAAACCTCTACTAAAAAAGCCCACCCTGGATCCAGAGGTGTTAGCCAACTATAGACCAATATCTAATCTTCCCTTTATGTCAAAGATCCTTGAGAAAGTAGTCGCAGACCAGCTGTGTGATTTTCTCCATGAAAATAATTTATTTGAGGAATTTCAGTCAGGATTTAGAGTGCATCATAGCACTGAGACAGCACTAGTTAAAATTACAAATGACCTTCTGATTGCTTCAGACAAAGGTCTCTGTACTTGTTTTATTAGATCTTAGTGCGGCGTTTGACACAATTGACCATCAAATTCTGCTACAGAGACTGGATCACTTAACTGGCCTAAAAGGTTCTGCACTGAGCTGGTTTAAATCTTATTTATCTGATCGTTTTCAGTTTGTTGACGTTCATAATGAATCATCCTTACGTACCAAAGTTTGTTTTGGAGTTCCGCAAGGTTCTGTGCTCGGACCAATCCTATTTACTCTATATATGCTTCCTTTAGGTAACATCATTAGAAATCACTCTATAAATTTCCATTGTTATGCGGATGATACTCAGTTGTATTTATCGATGAAGCCAGAAGAAAGTAATCAATTAACTAAACTCCATAACATAACATAAAAACTTGGATGAGCACCAATTTCCTGATGTTAAATTCAGACAAAACTGAAGTTATTGTTTTTGGCCCCAAACAACTCAGAGACTCTTTATCTATTTGATCAAGATTTGTCTTTTAATTCTCATTTAAAACAAACCTCACGGACTGCATTTTTCATCTGCGTAATATTGCGAAAATTAGGCCTATCCTGACCCGAAAAGATGCAGAAAAATTGGTCCACGCTTTTGTTACCTCTAGGCTGGATTACTGTAACTCTCTATTATCAGGTAGCTCTAGTAAGTCCTTAAAAACTCTCCAGCTAATTCAGAATGCAGCAGCACGTGTACTAACAGGAACTAAGAAACGAGATCATATTTCTCCTGTTTTAGCTTCGCTGCACTGGCTCCCTGTAAAATCCAGAATTGAATTTAAAATCCTACTGTTAACTTATAAAGCTCTAAATGGTCAAGCTCCGTCATATCTTAGAGAGCTCATAGTGCCATATTATCCCACCAGAACACTGCGCTCTGAGAACGCAGGGTTACTCGTGGTCCCTAAAGTCTGCAAAAGTAGATCAGGAGCCAGAGCCTTCAGCTATCAGGCTCCTCTCCTGTGGAATCATCTTCCTGTTACGGTCCGGGAGGCAGACACCATCTCCACATTTAAGACTAGACTTAAGACTTTCCCCTTTGATAAAGCTTATAGTTAGGGCTGGCTGAGGCTTGCCCTGTACCAGCCCCTAGTTAGGCTGACTTAGGCCTAGTCTGCCAGAGGACCCCCCTATAATACACCGGGCACCTTCTCTCCTTCTCTCTCTCTCTCTCTCTCTCTCGTGTCCTATTACTGCATCTTGCTAACTCGGCCATTCTGGATGTCACTAACTCGGCTTCTTCTCCGGAGCCTTTGTGCTCCACTGTCTCTCAGATTAACTCATATCACAGCGGTGCCTGGATAGCGTGACGTGTGTGGTTGTGCTGCTGCCGTGGTCCTGCCAGATGCCTCCTGCTGCTGCTGCCATCATTAGTCATTAGTCATACTTCTACTGTTATTATACACATATGACTATTGTCAGACATGTATACTGCCAGATATTAATACATACTTTCAACATATTGTACCACAGTATCCAGAACTATAACTATAATATTACTACTTTCAATAATGTTGTTGTAAGCTACTGTTATTACCTGCATCTCTCTGTCTCTGTCTCTGTCTCTCTCTCTGTCTCATTGTGTCATGCGGATTACTGTTAATTTATTATGCTGATCTGTTCTGTACAACATCTATTGCACGTCTGTCCGTCCTGGAAGAGGGATCCCTCCTCAGTTGCTCTTTCTGAGGTTTCTACCGTTTTTTTTCCCCGTTAAAGGGTTTTTTTTGGCGAGTTTTTCCTTATCCTCTGCGAGGGTCCTAAGGACAGAGGGATGTCGTATGCTGTAAAGCCCTGTGAGGCAAATTGTGATTTGTGATATTGGGCTTTATAAATAAAATTGAATTGAATTGAACCACGGCTGAGAGAATCTCTCCATTTTCTAAATAGAGTTTTATTCTGAAACATTTGTCAGAACTTCCTGTGGAAGATACAGTAGCTTGATAGTTTACATATGGCGATTCAAATGTAGCTCCTGCCATCTGCTGACGCTTTTAGGTGACAACATGTCGGCTGGCACATGAGCAGACACAATTCTGGCAGTGACTCAGATAATAGTCAAAGTAATAAAAACAGGACAAGAATAACCCGATGACATCACAAAGACGACCGGGGATAATTGATGAGTACCAGCGTGTAGTGTGTACCAGGCATAATGCAAGTCCTGAGTCTGAAATATGTCTGTCAGCGAGTCCTACTCCACCTATTTAGACTACACCGTAGACAACGGCAGCATTTCTCCGACCACGTAGCGAGCCACAAGCTCTGTGGCTTCTTTCAGACTGATTTTATGGTTTAACGTTATCTCCGTTATTAGAACCAAACGACAGCCGTTGCTGTTTCGGAGCTGAAGGACCAGCGTTCTAAAACGCATTAGGTTACTTGTTACTGCAAAAAGTAATCAAAGTACTCTAACGCGTTACTTTGTAACGCATTATACCCAATTCTGTATATATATATATATATATATTTCACCAACAGTGTGTCTTACTTTTATGTAATAGCCACTTGCAGATGTGTCCAGCTTGTCTGTCTTGAGAGATTTTTCACCTAAACTAGCTACTGTAAATCGTATCATCTCATTACATGATTAAACAGAGACTTGATATTGGACAACATCAACATACATACTACCCAACAACAGTAGCGGCTCGTGGTGAAATTGGGTGGGGGCTAACGCATTAGGCCTATGGCCTATACTGATGTATAGTTCA